GTATATATATATATATATATATATATATATATGTAGTACCACATACCATAGACACACATGTGAAGCCGCACTATTACTCTGAAAGATGAAACTGAAAGCGGTTCACGGTCACAATCACTCGCCGTTTACCAGCAGCACACCTAATAGTGATTTTGCACAGATTTCACTTCCCTTACACAGCACAGCACTTACATCCAGTTTGGCAACTGAATTCAAAGTAAGGAATGATTAAACACTGTTTAACAGAAACACTGTGATTGCTAAGACTCGTTAAATGTTAACATGCACGAGTCCAGTTACTCCACAACATATCTCTTTGTATCCAAAGGCACTCTTTGGCCAAGTTTGGCAGACAGTTCAGAAAAAGCAAGTTAAAAACACAAAGCAAATTTTTTTTTTTTTTAAGTTTCAGTTATAAAGCATTGGCTGTCTAGTCACAGGTTTCCACACACGTCAGTTTTGCAAAATGTTTAACCACGACTTCCAGTTCTGAAAGCTAAATCACACACGTACCAGCGGGTAAACCATCACATCTCAGCGACCGTTATATTCACTGCGCTGAGATGCAGAGACACCTCTATGACAACAGCAACACTGGAAATCATCTGGTATCTTAAAATGCTGATGTACGTGAGATAAGGATATTGAAATACAGCGGCCAGTGTTGTTGGGTAACATGACGGACAACATCGGGCCTGTTATTGAACATGCACAACCAAAAATAAAACTCGTTGGTTAACAATAACATAAACCCAAACAACCGCCTTCGAATGAGACGAGAGATCTTGGCAGGGGTTGTACTCTGGACCCGGTGGATTAGCATGCCTTCGGGCTGGAAAGACTCGTCGGCGTTTTGGTGTTCGCTGACGATCTCTAAATGAGCAGCGACTCTCATGGAGCGCTACACACCGAGGCACAATCACAGATTAGAGGCTTTATGGTGAACTCCAGTAAGGCATGCAGAGTAACTGGATTGTCTCTGAAGAGGAAGATACGGGCCAATGCTTAAATCTGCTATCACAACAACAGTACGAACACTTTTGTTTAGCAGCGGGACGCAGCCCTTTATAAAAAAGCACGTAAGGCACGATTCTCAGGATGATGGGTTAATCGAACAAAGCTTCAGGGTCATATTTAACCCCAAAATCACAACTAAGGAAATATATTCAGCATTAAAAATATCTAGTTTTGGACCATTAAGACGTTTTGCATTTGTAAAATATAACTGGAAATGTACAGCATTACAGTATTTGTAGTACTATATATGCATATATATATAAAAAAAAATAATAATTAAAAAAATCAGTCATTGTTTCTGGAGAAGTGACTTTCTTTGGGGAAAAAAAACTTTTTTGCATTAAAAAAAAAATCGTAATGCTCCTTAAAAAGATTTCATTTCTTTATGGAAAGTATATTTTTTCTTTTGATTTTGGAGTCAAATATATCCCGCAGTTTTCTACATGAAATCCACACAGTGCAACCCAAACAATCCATTTTACACAACCTACCGAAATATCGCTGAACAGCTATGGATCAAACACAATACGCGTATTAAAAAATCATTCTGAAGGCACATCAAAGATTTGGCTGGGATATCTGTAAACGTAAGTCTGATGTGTGGACCTCGTTCAGTCTTCATTATATTGCACATTGATCTAAACGCACAGGACGCCGCGAGTCAAGGCAGTAGAAAGCTCACACGTTCCTGACAGACATGGACATCGCTGATCTAATGTATCGTACATCGAGTGGACCTGGCAACGAGGGGTGCGACGATAAATCCATTCATGGATCAATTCCGCGATTTTCCGAATGCATCGCGATTCTGAGCTTAGTTTTTAACAGCAGATGGCGCTCTAGGCTAGTTTTTAACCGCACACTCAAATGCTCACGAAGAAGAGCGCTTGTGCTTTCGGTTGAGTCATGTAAGTGGTTAAATGCACTTGCACCTCAGCTTTTATGACATGAGATTAATGTAAACACAGCCCACTGTAATTCGCTTCAACCTTTAAGAACTTTATGAATGATTACTTTATGTTCAAGTGGTGTGCGAGTAAGGAACTGGAAGCGAGCAGAGTTTAGCTGTTTCTGAAGCACGCAGCGCCATCTGCTGTTCAGAACTAAGAATCAGAATCAATTCAAGAGAGAATCGCGATGCATTCGGAAAATCGCAGAATCTAATTGATTTATCGTCGCGCCCCTACTGGCAACAAACTGTTATTAATCAACAACAACAACAATTAAAAAAAAAAACAGGCAAGCAACTTCAACAGACAGATTTACAAGGCAATGAGAGACGAAGAAAAGAGCGAGAGCGGCTGCGCAGCTTGTTCACAAGTTCATCTCTGTCACGGCCGACTATAAGAGCACACACTTCTTGGCGTGTTTTTTGGTAACGGGGTAGAGCACGGCGCGCACGGCCTCCACAAACACCTCCCGCACTCCCTCCTGCAGCAGGGCAGAGCACTCCATGTACTTGACAGCGCCGATCTGCTTGGCCAGAGCGCCGCCCTGCTGGAGAGAGGTGGGCACCAGGCCCTGCTCCTTCAGCTTCTTCAGCGTCTCCGCGTCCGAGCGCAGGTCCCGCTTGGTGCCCACCAGCAGGATGGGAACGCTGGGGCAGTGGTGGGACACCTCGGGGTGCCACTTGTGCCGTACATTGGCGAAGGACGAGGGGCTGCCGATGGAGAAGCAGATGATGAAGACGTTGGTCTGCGGGTAGGAGAGTGTGCGCAGGCGGTCGTACTCCTCCTGCCCCGCCGTGTCCCACAGGTTGAGGCTGACCGTACGGCCGTCCACGCTCATCTGAGCGCTGTAGTTGTCGAACACGGTGGGGATGTACTCCTCGGGAAAGGCGTTGGTGGTGTAGGAGATGAGGAGGCAGGTCTTGCCCACTGCCCCATCGCCCACCACAACACACTTAATAGTCTGCATTCTGCGTCCTCTCGGCAGTGGCACCTGTGGCCAAGAGCAGGAGAACTTTATGAATTTTATGAAACTGAGGTTTATGCATCATGAATAAATAAGCTCTCCATTGATGTATGGTTTGTTAGGATAGGACCATATTTGGCCGAGATACAACTATTTGAAAATCTGGAATCTGAGGGTGCAAAAAAATCTAAATATTGAGAAAATCATCTTTAAAGTTGTCCAAATGAAGTTCTTAGCAATGCATATTAGGGATGTAACGATATTGTCAACATCGTGGTATCGTGATAGCAAAACGGTCTCGATATTATCGCGGTCACATGATGATATGAAACAATAGATCTTCTCGGGCAAAAAGGTGTAGTTTTTAAAATATATTTAAACTTCTTATTCTAACATAAAATGTCTTTAAAGTTGTGTTTTGGGGCATTATGCTTTGGCACAGTATCTGTCAAACGAACTCAAACACACTGTATAATACTATATAATGCTTAATCCCTTCATCAAGTCTGTTTGCGCTGTGTTTCAAAGCGAAGCACACACTTGGTTCAGACGATCAGCTCGTGATCCGGTGTTTTCCGCGTCTCAGAACGAATGTATGTGTATTTATATATACATAATAAATAGGGGTGTAACGATACACGCATTCGTATTGAACCATTCGGTACGAGGCTTTCGGTTCAGTACACATTACAAACCGAACGATTCGATTTGTTGGACTAGTCCTATTACATTTGGAAAATAAAAGAGCTTAAAGTGTGTGAAATATAATGTTCTCAGTGCCACTGCACTCAACAAGGAAGCCCAAACGATGTAACTGTCTGCCCCGCGATAACCTCCTCTTGCTGGAGTGCATCGAAAGACGATGATCTTGTGTCGACGATAGCCTGAGATATTGTCAAAAACATCAATTGTTGGCAATATTAAGATATTTGGCATTTCCAATTAATGTAGGCCTGTTACATTCTTATTTTTATTAGGCCTATTATTATTATTATTATTACGAAGTTAGCCTACTTTTATTGTTAAATTAAAATTACAATTAATTTGCCCCGCAATACCGACTTTCAAAAACAACCTGTTTAACACAAAATAGGCCTATGTTTCTTCTCATTTTTTTTTACTATGTATTATTAGAAATATTAAGGGAATAAATGAAAACAGTTAGTTATATACCGTTATCAGCATATGTTGAAGTAGATTCGTCTCGTCGTCTCTGAGAGAATATGTGGCGTGAGATGCAGAAAGCTCCGTCATTACGTTTTTACTTTCACTTTCTGTCTACTGAATTGACTGAGATTAAGACGTTCACCGGCGTAACTTAGCACGTTGTTTGCACGTTGTTTGTGTGTGATATCCATTGGCTCGCCTTCATGGTTTAAAACAGAAATATTTCCAACACTGCGACGTAACCAATTAGCCCCGAACCGAACCTTGAATTTTGTGAACCGTTACACCCCTAATAATAAATATACACAGTACACACACATATATTATGTAAACAACAACTTTTATTTTGGATGCGATTAATCGTTAGACAGCACTACTTTTTCTGACTTTTATCTGTTTTCTTAGTTAAGAACATGGGTTGGAGCTCTTAATTTTGATGTGCATTAGATAGAATAATTCAACTTTAAAATGTACAAAAATTCAAATTTTTTTCCAATTCTTCATTTGTCTTTTTTTTTTTTTTATATAAACATCGCAATAAATATCGTATCGTGGACTTCATATCGCGATATTATCGTATCGTGCGATTTTGATAGTTACATCCCTAATGCATATTACTAAACAAAAATTAAGTTTTGACATATTTACGGTAGGAAATTTACAAAATATCTTCATGGAACATGATCTTTACTTATGCTTGAGCTGAACAAAAGTGTAAATCCACCGTTTCTACCAAAAGAGTTACTATAGTTATTGTTATGATGAAACTGTTGTCTACTATCCACGATAGTATCGCGTATCGACGATAGTCAGAGATATCGCCTGTGGTTGATGCCTTTGACGATAGCAAGACGATTATTATTAATATTATTAGGCGAGTAATACTCTCTAATTAATATTAGGGCTTATTTGTTCCATTATATTTTTTTTCACGCGTTTGTACAGTGTTGTGCGTTATAACCAATCACACACGATCATAATATAATTAGTAACTTACGATGTTTCTATTAAACTGTTATCATGTTAAATACAAACTGAGTCACATTAAAAACATTAGGCTGTGTTTAGCCTTATGCTGGAGTTGGTTCACTTTCCGGCAATGAAACTAAGTAAATATCTTTATGTTATATTATTCTGAAATTCTGGATTCAATCTTTTTGTCAACTCGTTTTCTTTCAATTAGCACAGGTTTTGTGTTTCTTTCTGGAGCTCTTTGATCATAGGCCTCATTTATCGGAGTTTAAGCACCTAACAAAAGTTCATTTAAGCTTATGCACAAGTGTAACAAGGTAGGAAAACATCCAAACCTTATGTACATGTTGGGAAGTTGTTATTACCCTCCGTGAGCAAAGTCAGCATGTTTTAGTCTAATGTGATAAACATTAACTAGCAACTTCAGGAAAAAATAAACTCCTCTCTGGGTCAAAATGACCTGAACACAACATGAGGGTTACGAAAACTAACATAAATGTTCTGAAAGCTTTTTAAATATCACATATTAATTTCTTACGAACAATAAACTGAATAAGTATGGTATTTCCTGGCAGAATTGTTGTAGAGCTGTAGTCAGTTCTAACTGCATTTGTGCGTTATTATGAAGAATTAATAGAATTAAATGGTTTAAAATCAAACTGACCTTGTTTCAAATCACAGTAAAAATTAATTCTGATTAAATGTTTACAGGAGCTCCACTGATACTGCTATCATCATTTGTAACTAAGCCCAAGGGATCTTGATGATCAAAAATAGAATTTAGTTTCCAATAGAAATCCCGTCTCATTTCATTCCTCCCATGATTCTATCGCCAAGGGGGACAGGAATCAGAAACTGAAGCTTTATCAGACTCTCAGGTGAGTCAAGTGTCACTGTTATTGCGGAAGCTGCTAATGCTAGCCGCTAGATTAGCTATCAAACACTTGTGAAGTTCGCGAACAAGTCTTATATTCATATTTAAGTGCTTTAATGACCACGACAGCACACGTTATTAACGACGTGTTAAAGGCAGGGAATTTAACACTTCGTTAACTCTGGAAACAGCTTTTTGAGTCTGTGACACTGCTTAGCTGCTATTAGCAGTGACTGTCCAAACACCCGTCTGCACACGACTCTTACATTAACAACAGAAATATTACTATAATTAATAGTTTACTGTACACTGAAATTACCGTTCTTATCATCATTACGCGTAATATTGTTTTTAGTTTCGCTACTGTACTTTTCATATAATAACAACAACAGTCTGTAGTTCTGACGCGTCGCGTTCAGTCGCTCATTATCAGATTTGATATGGAGTTGCTGCACAGTATTTCCTGTATTTTTTTCACACCCATAACATGTTTTACACAGCATCTGAACATCAGAACAAACACGAGTCCTCAGGTATGCTATAACACGATGATAAAACGTATGAGATGAGTCTGAAGCAGTGCTCACCGCCTCGGAGATCCTCGCGCTCCTCTCCGACTAGCGCGCGCGAACGCAGACGCCGTGATCTCGCGTAAGACGGTTTCAAAATAAAAGTTCAGCTCTCAGCGATAGATTTTTTTTTTCCTCTTGAAACCTTGTTAGGAATCATTTGCGTTTACGACATTCTGTATGAAAGGCTCGTATAAACGAGTGGGTGAATTTACCTCTTACAGTATGCAAATTAGGCAATATTACATTATCTAATAGGACTGACAAAAGATAATAAAGTTTAAGAAATCAGAGTAATAATGTATATTTCAATGTAAATAGTTTCTTCTCTTTAGTTTGAATACATATCTGCATGTGTTTGTCTGTCAGGCCTTCGATGATCTCAACAATGAACATGATAATAAAGTTTAAGAAATCAGAGTAATAATGTATATTTCAATGTAAATAAAGTTTCTTCTCTTTAGTTTTAATACATATCTGCATGTGTTTGTCTGTCAGGCCTTCGATGATCTCAACAATGAACACAAATATTCAACACACGTGTTTAAGAGCGAAGCGCAGCACTGTGTTTAGTTACACCAGCGCACCGTATGATCCAGTGCCTTCGGATATATAAAAAAATAAATAAAAATTAAAAAGGTAATAGCGACTGTTTATCTTACAGTTCAGACATTTTTTTCTTATAACTCTGAGTAAAATAAATAAATAAAAATAACTGCTAGATATAAACTCGCTATTCTGAGAAGGAAAGTCTGAATTATGAGATATGCATTCTCTGTGAAATATCCAAATTGTGAGATATAAACTCGCGGTTGGAAGAAAAATCACAATTGCAAGAAAGTAGGATACATCAGAAATCTGAAACCCAGATCTATTTTTTTCTGAGATTATATTTTTTTTTTCACAGAATTTAGAAAAATGTTGAATTGTGAAATAAAAAGCAATTACCGTTTTTATTCTGCTGCATGCGTCAATCAATCAATCAAACAAATAGATACAAATAATTCTGAGTTTACAATTATGACTGAATAAAAGTGTCAAATTGCGAGACAAAAAGTCACAATTACTCTTTTATCTATTTATTTTTAATCATCCTTTGGAGGAAACGAGCTTCTGTAGTTTTCAGCGTCTCAGTTTACAGTAAACGTTCATCATGTTGCTTTTAATGTTCACGAGTGCCAGGTTCACATCGTTTTCACATGCCTACAATTTCTCACCGTCCTGTGGACGTGCGTTTCACCATAAGAATCAACTAAAGTGAAGAATTTTAGGCATACTAGTACCATAACATCCAATGTTAAAAATATATCATTTTAAAAGTACAATTGTATTATTACAAAAGTAACAATAATCTTTTAATATATTACCTTGAAACTTTAGGGAGTTTATTCACGAGCCTGACCGAGACACACACACACACAACACAAATACGAGCTCAAACTATTTTATTATAAAAGACTGCGTTGCAATATTGCTTTCTTTAAAGCTATCAAATCATTCAATTCCATAATGAGCATTTAACAATTTCAACAGACATCAGCCTTTGTACAGAGCTACTGTGATTCCAGGATATTCTCCTGTGATGAACCACAGAACATCACTGATTTAAATAAAACAAGCAGAGGTCACTAGTAAAGGTTCACCTCAACTACCTTTTGCTTTCCCGTCTGCTTCAACATTATCCATCACGTGCACAAGCTTACGAACGAGCGGATTCCAAGCAGAACCCATGGACAGAACAGAGACTGTGCCATTTAAATAGAAAACATTGAAACACTGAAGTCCTGCTATTATAAATACTTAGACGTTGTTCAGCCACACGTTCAGCCTCATTCATTCCCAAAAACCCAAATCAAAGCAGCATTAAATCACGTGTTTAAGAAAGGAATGAGTCGTGTCTGTAATCACATTAAAGCCCGGATGATAACTCAACACACTTCACTTCAAGCCCGAGGCAGATTATTCTCAGCAGACAGTGAATGAATGTGACATTAAGAGAGGGACGAGGAGCACAGTGTGTGTGAGAGAGATCAGTGCAGACGGCTTCACTGCTGGCCCTCCTTCTCCCCCGTCTCTCCTCCTGCTGCCCTCTCCGACGCCATCTGACCAACACAAACACAGACGCTCTTATTATTATTATTATTATTACTACAGAGCTGCACAAATATAATGAAGAAGATCAAGTGTGAAAGACAGTATTTCAGGTAACATTCAGACAATCTACATACCAAACCTGATCACTATTAAACAGCTTTATTATTATTATTATGAATAATAATAATTTTAAAATAACTAATGCTCTTCCGCAGTCCGCTGATTGAATAATAATAATAATAATCATAATACATTTTAAATAACTAATGCTCTTCCAAAACAGTCCACTGATTGAATCATATTATTTTTATTATTAGATTTAATAATTATTTTATAATTAATAATGATTAATATAAAATTTTAAATAATGCTCTTCCAAGTCAATTTATTGAAATGTTATTATTATTATTAATAATTTAAAATAACTAATGCTCTTCCAAAACAGTCCACTGATTGAAAAAAATTATGATGATGATAATATTAACAACTACTATTATTATTACATTTTAAATAATCCTCATCCAAAACAGCCAATTTATTTTAAAAATATTATTATTATTATTCATTTAAAATTACTAATGCTTTACCAAAACAGTCCACTGACTGAATATTATTATTTTATAATTAATAATGATGATTATTATTAAATTTTAAATAATGCTCTTCCAAGTCAATTTATTTAAATGTTATTGTTATTATTATTAATAATTTAAAATAACTAATGCTCTTCCAAAACAGTCCACTGATTGAAAAAAATGATGATGATGATGATAATAATATTAACAACAACTACTATTATTATTACATTTTAAATAATCCTCATCCAAAACAGCCAATTTATTAAAAAAAAATTATTATTATTATTAATTTAAAATAACTAATGCTCTACCAAAACAGTCCACTGATTGAATAATAATATTTTTATTATTAGATTTAATTATTTTATAATTAATAATGATTATTATAATAAAATTTTAAATAATGCTCTTCCAAGTCAATTTATTGAAATGTAATTATTATTATTATTAATTTAAAATAACTAATGCTCTTCCAAAACAGTCCACTGATTGAATAATATTTTTATTATTAGATTTAATTATTATTTTATAATTAATAATGATCATTATTATTACATTTTAAATAATGCTCTTCCAAGTCAATTTATTGAAATATTATTATTATTATTATTAATTTAAAATAACTAATGCTCTTCCAAAACAGTCCACTGATTGAAAAAGAGGCCACAGGACGGCGCAATGAGCAAAAGAATGCAGCGCATTAAATCGTTTATTCAATGCAATGAAATAACAACTGTCTATAAACGACATGCATAACGTCTACATTAACATATGGGTCAATATCACCATAGAGTGCCTTTCAACCCTCAAATTGAAAAAGATGATGATGATAACAACAACAATAATAATAACTTACTATTATCATTATGAAACTTTAAATCTTTTAAATCCTCTTCCAAAACAGTCAATTTATTGAAAATTATTATTATTATTATTATAATAAATAATTGTAATGTGCTTCCAAAACAGGCCAAATTTTGGATTAACAAAATAAAACGAACAATTAAGATTTCTTCCCTATTTAAATGAGGTGAAGTGTCCTGAAAGCTGGTCAGATCAGCTGGATTCACAGGTTTCTCAGTCAGAGAGCAGTGTTTAGCACAGGCTAGAGCGAGTGAAAGCCAGAGCGGACCTTCTTGTATGCCATCTCGAAGAGCTTGAGCGAGGCCTGCTGCAGGCTTGCGGCCGCTTGCTTGATGTTTTCTCCCGTCTCCGTGTCCTTCCGCGAGAGCAGCTCTCGCACTTTAGCCACCTCCTCCTTCAGTCTGTCGCACTGCAGAGAGAGATCACAAGCGTTAGCTGCTCTAGAACAGTGTGCTTCAGCTCTCCAGACAGCAGTCGCACCTCCTCCGCCGGCAGCTGCTCCTTAAACTCCTCCATCTTTGACTCGCTGTCGTGCACGATGCCCTCGGCCATGTTGACCGCTTCCACACGATCCTGTGACCCAAAACCAATGCGCTTCGATTAGTTCAAACAGGTTTGAAGGTGCAGCACATCAGCCCTCGGGCTACATTAGAGACGCTACCTTGCGTCTCCGGTCCTCCTCTGCGTACGTCTCCGCGTTCTTGATCATGTTTTCTATGTCATCTTTGCTGAGGCCGCCAGAAGACTGGATCACAACTGGAAGCACAAGCAGATAATAATAATAATAATAATAATATGCCACATCAATGTTTGGCAGAAAGACAAATTCAACATTTTTTGAAGAGCTGGGCGTATAGCTAAAAAAATGCATCAACGATACAATGTTTCACATCATTCGGTATCAATAACTATTGACATTTTTATAAAACCGAGCAATAAAAAAAAGTTTAAATTTAACCAGTTTTTGTAATTCACCCACTTTATTAAGACAAACAACAAATCATTTTTCGCTTTAACAGTCAAACACGAAACGTACACAAATATCTCCTTTGTTTTATATGCAGATTAAATAAGTCTTAAAGAAACCTTTGTCTCGTCTCCC